CAAGGGAGAGCATGAGTTTGTGTACGACCTGAAGACGACGTCAGGGCCGTGTGGAGTTTAGCCATGACGGAGGCTAACCTCAGCGTACTGGTAGCCTGCAAAGCCAGGCTTGTGAGGCGCCTCGGAGAAGCCGAAGCCCGGGAGACTGGGCGCCACGACGTGGAAGCTGGGATGGTCCGGCGAGGTGGAAGTCAAGTAAGGGAGCAATCTGCGGACTTCGAGAAAGTGACCCGGCCCTGATACCAAGTGGATGCGTGAGCTATCGTATGGCGGCACGAGGAAACATGCGCGCGTACAACCATGGACGAAGAGCAGAGGAATGGCGTTGGCGACCTCGCTCTTCTGGTGGACATAATGAATGTTGAGCTTGTCGAAACCGTCAACTTCGATGTCGCGCGTGTACATGTCGAGCTTGTTGATGTCTGCCTCGGCCTTGCGCCAGTCGAAGCCATCCTTCCAGCGGGCGACAAGGCGCTTGACGTCGGCGAGAGGGACACCATAGTCGGAGCCGGCGCCGTCGAGTTCATCTGGGAGGCGGGCGAGGTCGAGCTTTTTGTGGAGGAGGTCGAGGTCAGCGTCCGAGACGGAGAGGTTGAAAGGCTGAGGAGAAGACATAGCGAGTGCGGGAGGGGTAGTCGATGCGAGGATTTGGGCTGGTACTTGTACTGGACGAGCCGCGAGCGACTCACGCGGTTGGGCCGGGAAACCGCGGAGGTTAGCTAAGTCCGTGTGAGAGCCACGCTAATCATTAATCATTGACGGAAGAGAGCGAGTAGCTGATACAGAGCTGATCTCAGGACGTCTCAGATGGCGCAGTCCTACCCAGCACGAGTACGCAGAACGCTGGGCAAGTACAGAACACGTGTTTGGCTCTGTTATGGCTGTGGCTGCACATGGGCGCCTGAGAAAGAGTTGGCGGACGGGGAGGAGAGGTCGCTCGCTGTCGTCGACGATGGCCACCGTCTTTGCTGCCGTCCAGCGCGCCCTCCGCCCAGCCGCCCTCCGCCATGTCGCTCGCCCGTGCAGGTCTGCCTGGCACGCACGCGCCATCCACTCGTCTCCCATAGGTGAGCTGCCCCGTCCACATAACGTGACACGCACACTCAACCGTCCTGCAGTGCTCAAGAAGAAGCCCTCCCATGCTGCCTCCCAGTCCGACGACCTCTTTGGCCAGTCTGAAGACGACTCCGGCGACCTCTTTGCTGAGGACAGCTCTGCCCCAACCCCTCCTGCCACCAAGCCTCCTGCGCACCGTCCTACCGACCTTCCTCCCAAGAACCCCTCCGTCCCTGCTCCCGCTCAATTCGATCCCGTCGCCCGTTTTGAAGACCTCTATCAGTTTCTTCACGCCTATCTTGTCGAGAAGACTGAAGCACGCGTCCCGCGCGACTCCATCTGGGAACACCTCTTCGACGTCTCAGACACCCCAGAACGACTAGAGCGCGCCATCGAGCTACTGCCCAAGTGGAGGGATGCAAAGCGTCCTATCAAGAGCAAAACAGACGAGCATCTTGCACGTAAGTCCCACCGCGTCCTCTTCCTCGCCATATCCTTCGCCACCTCGCGCACATGCGTCCTCTTCGAGCGCGCTTGTCCCATCCCATCGTCTCTCCCACTAACCCATTCCTGCAGGCCGCGTCCAGAAGCTGCGCTGTCCACAACTAGCCCTCAAGGTCTTCGGCGACCGTCCAAAATACGGGCTTGACCTCACCCTCCCCGCCGCCCGCATCATCCTCCAGAGCCTCCTCGTCCTCGGCACCCCACAAGAGGTCCTCACATTCACCTCCCTCTTCAGCGTTTACGGCCTCCCTCCCGTCTCCTCCGACCTCCTCTGTACCGCATTCCTCCTCCGCGCCCTCTTCCAGCACGCATCCGACGAGTCCCTCACCGTCGCCCGCTCCCTCGTGCCCTCCCTCCAGACCCTCCTTGCCAGCAAGAACCCCGCATACATGTCCATGACGATCCCCAGCACGCACATGGATGAGAAGCGCGAAAAGATCTGGCTCGCCAACACGCTCCACAAGCTCCAGGAAGACCTCACGTCCCACGGAATCGAGCACGCGTGGCTCGACGAGTGGATGGCCGCCAGCGGGTACGAGGCTTGGTTAGCGTCGCAGTAATCTCCTTGTCTACAAGCCCTACGGTACACACCACTAATCATATCTCTGTGCTGCTGCCCGGTGCACATGCGCGCGCCCCGCGGCGTGCGACGCGAGTCCGTGGCGGGCGATGGCTGGCGGTGAGTACTCCTATCTATCGGGCTCCCCATCCTCCACGAGATGGTGCCTCGAACTGCTACAAGCTCTCGCATACAGGCCATACGTCTGCTCGAGTTGTAGCAAGATTCGTTACGGGCCGCATTCCGGAAACAGCTTGCGCAGCATAAGTCCCAATCCCTCCTATTGAGAGGCTATGTAATCCGTCGCCCGCTGGACACTCGAGTGCCAAACCCGCACCCACCGAGTAGCACGTCATTGCAACCTGCTTATTTCGTGCGTTTCATCCCAGGCCGCTCCGCTCGTGGGTACCGAAGTGTTCTGCGAGGAGAGGCCCCGATCCCGGTTCTGTCGGACGCACACGTCGATATCGTCCTCTCGGGTGACGCATGCTGCGTTCGCGTGGTGCGCATGAACGCTGCTACGTCCCATATACAGCACCGCGTATGTCCAGCAGAAGCAGTCGCGCGCCTTCTCCTGGATGCGCATTCATACGCTGCGCGCCCCGAATTTGAAGGCGACCGCGCATGTTCCCGCGACCATAAAGGCAACTACGCCTCCCCGTACGTCGCGTTCATGTCTCACGTCTGAGTGCAGGGGCTCTCCTCTCCTAGGACACCGCATTGTGGCATGTGGCATTCCCAGCACCTGTGTTGTGCATACTTAGCTGGCGTCGGCGCGGCTTGCGATCTGGGTCCACGTCCTCCGAGCGCTGCGCGATTGCGCGAGCTGGGCAGTGAGCTCAGAGCACACGAGTCATGGCCACACATCGCGGATGGCTCACGCGAACTCGGCTCCTGGCAGCCAGCGCATTCGGAATACGTATATAACCTCCCGCCCGACCGTGCACGGAGAGGCCAGAGTTTCCGCCTTGAGCTTGCTTGAGCCGTTCAAGTATATATCGTCTGCGCTCTCTAGTCTGCCAGCTTCACGTCCGCCCCCTGCAACGACACCATGAGCTTCGACTATCCTGTGAAGGAAGACCCATTCACGCTCCACGTCCCCGACGCCGACCTCGACCTCCTCCGGCGCAAGCTCGCCCTCGCCCGCCTCCCAGACGAGCTCGAGCTCGGCCCAGAGTCTCAATGGGACTACGGCGTGCCGCTCTCCCGCATCAAGCGACTCGTCGCCCGTTGGGCGGACGGGTTCGACTGGCGCGCATGCGAGGCGGAGATCAACAAGCTGCCCATGTACACGCGCGACATCCCCGTCGACGACTTCGGCACTCTCAACATCCACTACGTGCACCAGCGCAGCAGCGTCCTCGACGCCATCCCGCTGCTCTTCGTCCACGGATGTGAGTCCCACGACGAGCTTTGGCGAGGAGAGCAGGGCGAGCCGGCTGACATGCATGATTCCATGGCAGGGCCCGGGCACTTCCTCGAAGTGCGCAAGCTTCTACCGCTGCTCACGGACGAATCTGCCGATCATCCCAGCTTCCACGTCGTAGCCGTCAGCCTTCCCGGGTACGCGTTCTCGGAAGCACCGACAAAGCCAGGCTTCGGCGCCGCTCAATACGCAGAGGTGTGTACCGCGGTGGGATTGTATCAGTCGCGTCGCTGTGGTTGACATCGGTTCGTTTGTCTAGGTCTTCAACAAGCTGATGATCTCGCTGGGATATGAAGAATATGGTGAGCCGGAGTAGTATCTTCGCTGTGTCATCTCGCTGATCATCTGTGGGGTCGCAGTATACCAGGGAGGAGATTGGGGGCATGTCGTGAGTCATCTCTCGATGTACTACACTCTTCGTAAGTCGCCGAACAGCCACCTTAGCTTGGCATCCGGACAGCGAACATGTACGGCGGCCGTCATGTCAAAGCCTGGCACACAAATTGCCCTATGTATGTTGCAGTGTCAGTATCACAGCTTGCCCGCTTATGAACAGACGGACTCAGAACAAAACCCAAGCTGTCCACCATCCTCGCCCACCCAAGCCTCATCCCACGCATACTCCTCTCCCCCTTTGACAAAGACGCCAGGGAAGCCTACACGGTCTCGAAGAAATACCTCACCGTGGGGTGCGGCTACATGAACGAGCAGTCAACACGCGCACAGACCCTAGGTTACTCCCTAGCGGACTCGCCTGTCGGCCTGCTCGCATGGATATACGAGAAGCTCGTCGCATGGTCAGACAACTACCCCTGGACGGACGACGAAGGTAAGCCGGGCCTCTTCTGTGCCCCTCCAGGTCCTGTCTGATTTGAGCCCATCCACCAGTACTAGAATGGGTCTCGATATACTGGTTCTCCCGCGCCGGCCCCGCCGCCTCTCTCCGGATATACCACGAGCTGTCCCACGGCGGCACACGCGACTTCTTCCACGGCACCCGGTGGATTCCTATCCCAACAGGCGTGTCCTTCTTCCCGGGCGAGATCGTCCGGCTACCCAGATCGTGCGTGCCGCTCCGTGTTCGCCGCACACTTGTATCTGACTCCTCGTTTCCTCGCGCAGGTGGACGCGCTCGCTGGGCAACGTTGTATATCAGCGCGAGCACGACCAAGGCGGGCATTTCGCCGCGCACGAGGTGCCCCACAGGCTCGCACACGACCTTCGCAAGATGTTTGGAAGAGGTGGGCCGGCGTTCGGGGTGGTTCCAGGTAGGAGCGGGTATTCGAAGCCGAGATTCCGAGCACACACAGCGTAACTTTCAGCTACGTAGCCGACCCCGGACGGTTTCTATGAGTTTTGGACCCAACTTGTCTGAATCCTTTTCGTGTACGAGTACACAGCAGAAAAGTTTCTTTCTCAGGATGACAGATTCTTGCGTATGCTGTAACCATCATGTCTCTGTTAGTATATCGGTTAGTACACGCGCCTGTCACAAGGCGATTTGCCAAGTCCGCGCGAAAGCGGGGTTCGACTCCCCGACAGAGAGTATCTTTGTCCAATCATTTTCCCCCGTATGTCAATGACAGCTTGCCCAGCGTCGACGTGTGTCTACAAAGGCCATAGTACTGATACGCTGTTGCTGCTAGCCGTTCAGTATTGCGTGTTACATCAGAACCAGGTTTCGACAGTCAACGTTACACTTTTGGACTTCAAGATCGTCAGCGCCATCAATCGACCGTTTAGTGATACCGCGGCCAGTAACAAGGGAAATAACGTCGAGCTTAGCCTCCATGCAACTCTACATCTGATGTGTTCCATCGCAGGTATGCTATCATGGTTCCACTGGGTCATGCTCTTTTGCACGGCTGTCTCGCCTGCCACCCGGTAGCATGTCAGCCATGTCCGAAACCGCAGAACGCAAGAGATTGTACTCACATATCCGGGTGCCAGTGGTCGTGACGCTACTATATCAGATATTAAAGTTAGACCCAAAACGTCCTTCAAGCGAGAATCGTCAGTACAGCTCTGGCGATGACAGGCACATAGGACGACTGACCACTCTCTCAACTTCCTCCAACCTCGACTGTGCCCACTTCCTCACCCCTTCGTTCTATGGTTCCATGATGACAATGGCGCTATCCTCGTCTTGCTATGATATGTAAGAGCTGAAGCTTGTCCACCTGGGCCCCGGGATATGATTAAATATAGCAAGGTACGATGTCCTATCGAAAGCAAAAGCAGAACATGAAAGCGCATTCAGAGACGGAAACCGCAAGTGCGATATCCATGTCCATGTCCTATCCTACCAACCATCGCTCGAAACCATTCCGTTCAAACTGCAACCCTCCAGTATACCTCGCAAACAGATGCGGGACCCCTGGTCACCACACGCTCGCCGCCCTGCAACAGCTTCACATGCTCGCCCACGCGCCAGGTCTGCTGGAGACCTCAGAAGGCGTTCGGTGCCGGGGCGGCAGAATTGGCAAATGCTACTGCTCTGGCCATTGCAGCGGGAACCGTGGTCCGCAACTTCTTCGCAGGACTTGTGAGCAAGCGCGCGAGCGGTATCTCCTCTTCGCTGTCAGAGGCCGAGTCCGTTCTGCCGTCGCCACTGTGGCGCTTGCGCTTGTGAATCTGCACTGGTACGCGTCGCTTGGCTGAGCCGGGAAGACGAGGGTGCGAGGATCGTACGAGGGATGGGAGAAGAGCAGGAGCAGGAGTAGGCAGCTGATGCCCACGCTTTGCCGGAAGCGTTGAGTTGAGATGGAAGCCACGCACGACAGGGGCTGCTCCGCCGAGGGACACGGCAGGCGCAGGTGAGACGACGGTGTGAACATGTTTGGCTTTCTTGCAGAGGCGTTCGTCATCGTCGGCCTTGCGCTTCTTCCGCGGCGTTTCTGCGCTGCTGATGGACGCTGTCGCGTCGAGCGGGCGCGGCATTGAGGTCTCGACGAGGGACGGAAAGACCACATTCCCGAAGATACTAAGACGAACGACTTAAATCAGCACACGCATGTGAGCAGAAATGACGTACATATCGCAGCGCAACGGCATGATAGGCGGCGCGCAGTCCAGAGTCTTGATTACGGTGCGCTGTATCTGATTGGGGAGGCGAGACAACTTGCGGTCGGGGCGAACGACGCTGCCCTCTCCATTGGCGCGGAGAGCTTTGGGCACCTCAGGTGCGTCCACGGTCTCGCCGAAGAGCTCTACCTCCCAACTTTCCTCGTCCTCGCCTCCGGCCACATATTCCGCCAGGTTGCTAGAAGACGCACTCGACCGCAAGACTTCACAAACGACGTCGTCTGCGTGCTTACTGGCTGGCGGAACAGAATCAGCTGCGATGCTAGCAGGCGCTGTTGCGGCGAGTTCTTCCCTCTGCTCCGCGACGTCTTGGGAGATCGAGGTCGTAGGGCAGGGGTCGGTAGAGGACTCGATGGGTTCCCAGTTGGGGAGGTCATCGGCGGCCAGATCCTCCAGACTGAATCCCGAGGGAAGCGTCGGAGGAATCGAGGAGACGGCGTCATCAGAGGACCATGAGCTTGAGGACGAGAGTGAACTGCACGAAGAGGCGGAGGACATCGAAGTTTCCGACTCCCACGTGATAATGATGCTCTCCGCGTCGCTGTCGCTGTCGGCTTCATCGGAGGCGTAGGAAGTATCGGAGTCGTAAGAATCGTCGTCGCTGAAGCTCTCACCAGCGTCCGAGTCGAAAGACGCATCACCGCAGAAGGAGCGGTCTCCGTCCAACTCTTCGTCGTGGCTGCCACGGACAACATGTCAGCCAAGCCGATAGGACAACGCAACTACACTCACTGCTCCACATCAGGGGCTGAGTCGTCCAGGAGGGCCTGCTCGAGCTGCTCAGCCATCCGTTCCAGTTCCTGAACCCTCTTCTTGGCCTTGCGCACGGCGCGTTTGCGGGCGGAGGCCTGCCCCGGAACCGTCTCCTCCGTCGGAGTCTGAAGGAAGTAGACGGCTCTTCCGCGACCAACGAGGACTAGCTCTGGCGTCTGGGGATCAGGAGTGCCGGGGGTATAGACCAGAGCGGGCCTGGCGGAGTCAGAAGAGGCGGGGAGATGCATATGCTGGGTAGAGAGTTTTCCGGTACTGGGGTCGAAGATATAAACGTTCATAAGAGGAAGGGAGAAGTAGTCGGTCATGTTCGACAGATTGTACGAAGACTGCGCAGCAGTAGACAAACTCAAGTAGAGGATGAGCGAACTAGGGGCGTGCAAGGGTGAAGAGGTGGGGGCGAAAGGAAGTAAGGAGCGAGACAGTCTCGTACCGGCTTCTCGTTTTGCTCTATGGAAGCCCAGCAGGGCCTCCACACTGGTAGCCCGTCAGCGGATACCAAGATGGGTATCCGGCATTGGGATCGGGCCCATAGCACAAGTGACCTAGACTTGCACGCACCTCGATCCATTCTTCCCTCTCTCTGCTACTGCAAGACGTACACCGCGTCATGCATTAGGGCACCGTTCTGCACGCGATGTTATGTCTTGTTAGAGGGGCAGATGACCAGCGAAGCTCGTTCGGGCGAGAGTGTCGTGAGGTGGTAGCAGTCATGAAGCGTGGAACACCGGTGACATACCATATCTTCACTCCCGTCTCGCGACATAGGAGGACCTTCGTCATACAACTCTTGCGAGTATCACGTATGAATGGCACAAAACTGTTGCAAGAGAGAGACATGGAGGGATCATGCGGTTAACGACGATGTATGTATTGGACGCAAGCCGACGGAGACAACCGCCCGGCACTCGCGCGGACCGTGGGACAGTGGCGAGGCGCAGCTCCGCCTCCGCGACCGCAGGCGTCCGCGTTGTTCTCGTACTTACTCTCCACTGCACCTCGTCTATACCTCGTCTTCCTCTCACACTCCAACGACGCCGTCGACATGAGTTTTCAGGACATCGAGACCGGCCTCGCACAGCGTCCTCTCTCGCCCAACGGCGTGCCCCAATCCCCCGAGGAATCCGCCTTCGTCACTCTACAGTCCTCGCTCTCCCTCCAGGTCTTCAAGATCAACTCAAATGTGCAGGGCATCCTCAAGCTCGTCGACCAGCTCGGGACGGCCAGGGACTCTGCGACGCTGCGAAAGTCTCTGTGAGTACGCGCAGAGCTGGGTATACGGGCGCCGCTGATGCATGGAATGTCGGTAACTCAGTCATGACTTGACCGAGTCGACGCGTGCAATGGCAAAGCGCGGCTCGGATGATCTCAAGAAGCTCGCGAGTATGCAGGCCACCCTGGTACGTCTCCTACGACGGCATGACTACATGACCGGGCCATATTCACGAACAGGCATACAGCCCCGGTACAAGACGTCATTGCAGAAGACGTCTCATGATTTCCAGCTTTCCCTCGTTGCCTTCCAGCGCGCTCAGCAGGTCAGCGCCGAGAGGCAACGCACGGTAGTGGACGGGGTGAAGCTCGCGGTTGAGGAGGACGAGAGTGCAAGGTGAGTCTCGTAAGATCCCTCGCATTCGTCCCAGACGCAATAACCATGGTTCTGCTATTGTTCAGGCATGAGCAAGCCCGTGCTTCAAGTCCGACGCCCTCGCAGCGTCAGGCGCAGATATTGCACACGCAACTCTCCCCGCAAGAGCTCGCCTTCCAAGAGTCCATGATCGTAGAGCGAGAAGCCGAGATTCGGGAGATCGAGAGCGGTATCCATGAGCTTCATGAGATCTTCCGCGACCTCGGTACCCTCGTCCAGGAACAGGGCGGTATGCTCGGTGAGTTCCCACTTCCGTCTTCCCCGTCGCGCGTCTGGTTTGAAGTTTGCTCATGGTACTCCAGACAACATCGAGTCGAACATATCCTCTATTGCGGTCGACACTTCCGGCGCCGCAGAAGAGCTGACTACCGCGCATGAGTATCAGCGACGCGCCGGCAAACGTGCACTCTGTCTGATGCTCGTCCTCGTTGTCGTCGTCTGCGTGGTCCTCTTGGCAGTACGTATCCTTCTTGTCGTCGCACGCTGTTCTACCGGTATACCAATGCTATGCTGAATCTACGCGCAGATCTTGTCATGAGCACCAAGCCTTAATCACGACCACACGACGACATTAGAAGAGACGACTTCGGCTACGACAGTGACCTTATGGACTTGTACACGATCTTCGGATGGCTTGCCATGCTCTATGCTATATTCCCCTAGTTCCAAGTGATGGTGATCATTGATATCCTTGTTTATGTTGCTACTTATAATTGTTGGCATTGTACTCGTACTTTCGTTGCAGGTGAAGAATGGTGATACAGTGGATGCGTTGTTGACGTCGTACTTGGTCCTACAGCCATACGATCTCAGTGAACTCACGAGCCAGTACGACGTAAGCTGATCGTACTCACCAAATCGAGACGAACATAGAGAGCTGTCGGGACTAAACATGTCAACGTCGAGGATGTGGTTTTGGGTATGTAACGGCATCCCGGGTATGGTGGTTAGGTATAGACAATATACGGCAGAGTATACACTGCAGTACGCAGTCAATAAGACGCCCCCTCCTCCGTCTCCTTCCACACACATCCACAAAACGT